AATCATTGTTATTGTTTTATCACACCACACAGAGATGACGTTACCACTAACAGCCTCGGGGCTTTTTTTTATATTTTCATTTCCATACCATTCATAATTTAAAAGCGATGGTTGACACTTTAAATGAGAGACACATTGCTAAAATGTGTTTTTCTCTGAGGTATAAGTCGGACATTACGTTTGGTCTAAACGTAGCCTTTACATTTGATTTCAAACTATATATTTCAACAAATAGTGTTATGATATTTTGACTGAAGTGTGTTAATGTATCTACGCAATTAGCAAGGTAAAGAAACATCGTTCATTGCGTTGCATGCTGACCAGACTTGCACTATTAAAACTATCTTCTTATCTTCTTATCTTATATAATACAGACGTTACTTCAAAAAAGAAGATGATTACGTCCTACGCGTCATGCATTTAGTCATGCATATTAACCAATGACTTAAATTCTGCCAAGTCACTGGTTTTCCTGGCTAGCTCAGGCAACCCATTCCATGCTCTGATAGCACTAGGGAAGAAGGAGTATTTGTACAAATTTGTCCTAGCATATGGGACGAGGAATGTGCCTTTATCTTTGTGTCTTCCAGAGTATTTTATTAAATTTTGTTTTTGCATTTGAAGATTATGGTTCAGTGTTTTATGTATAATTGCTACTTTACTTTTGAGTCTTCTGTCCTGAAGGCATTCTAAATTTAGTGATTTTAATATGAGGTTACTCTAGTCAAATGTGAATATTCATTTGTTATGAATCTCACTGCTCTATTTTGTGTTTGTTCCAGTTTCTTAATGTTTTCTTGAGTTGAGGGGTCCCAAACGGAGGATGCATATTCTATTATTGGCCTAACCAAGGTTAAATAACATTTTAGTTTTATGTTCTTATTTGATTTATAGAATTTTCTTTTAATAAATCCTAATGCTTTGTTTGATTTTTTTATAGTTTCATCAATATGTGGATTCCATGACAGTTTTTCATTTATTATAACACCTAGGTATTTTGCGTTTTTAGTCTGTATTACAGGTTTACCATGAATAAGATAAGTGGAATTAATTTGTTTTAGTTTTTTTGTTACTCTTAACAACTGACATTTTTCTGGGTGGAAAGACATGCTCCAATTTGATTCCCATTTCTGTAATTCATCTAATTCTCTTTGTAAAATATCTGTGTCTTGTGTTGTTTTTATTGTTCTATATATTAAGCAATCGTCTGCAAATAATCTAACTTTTGTTCCTGAAGTAATGCAATTCGGTAAATCATTTATGTAAATTAAAAATAGTAGTAGACCCAAGACTGTTCCTTGAGGCACACCTGAGTTTACTGTTATCAGTGTTGATTTTGAGCCATTTATTATTACAGTTTGTTCTCTCCCTATCAGAAAATCTTTAATCCACTGGTGCAGTAAACCATTAATGCCAAAATATTTTAATTTTTTAAGCAAACTATAGTGTACCGTGTGGGTTACCCCAGTTTACATCAAGACTGTTTGATTCCTTTGATGCAGACACTTCTAACCCATACAATATCCTAAACACCATCCTAAACCAAACTCACCAACCACTAGCCAGATCCACTCCTGTTAAACCTAAATCTACTAAAATTAATACAACAGCCTCACTAAACAAATCTACTAAAGAAGTAATACCAAAATACCTTAAAACCTTAGTAGTAAATTTTCAAAGCATTAGGAACAAAACAGCAGACTTAGAAATTTTATTAGAATGTTAGAAACCAGGCATAATTGCAGGAACAGAAACTCCCAGGTACGCTGTTCTGCCTCAACGTGGCAACTGGGTGGAAACGGCTACTTGAGGGGGTAGCTAGGCTAAATGAATGGCGAAACATAACTCCCGTGGGGATGCCCACGGGTAGACGAGAGTCCACCCCTTGCACGGGCGGGGTTATAAAAAAGTCCCCACAAAACTGTCACACATCCATGCGCCGTTCCTCAAAGGACCGTTACATGAATGGCGAGTCCCCCACGGTTATCTTGGTATAACGAAGGAAAATGACGGAGGCTCCCGGTGTCCTCGGCCTACGGCCATGAGTCGGGGGTCAAAGGCATTGGAAACAGCAATGCTTTACATAGGCATTGACTCGGGTCGCTCTCAAACAAAACTGTGTTCTCACAGGTTTTTTTTTTTTTTTTACTGTTCTGGCTGGACGACCAAACAGGTTTTTTTTCAAACTTAGAGCTCGAAGAGCCTTCGGCTCAGCTCATATGACAATCAAACGGAACAGAAACTTGGCTACATCCTGAAATTTATAATGCAGAAATTTTCAATTATAAAATTTTTAGAAATTTAGAGCTGATAATCATGGAGGAGTTCTTCTAGCAATAAAAAAACACTCTTATAGCAGAAGAAATTACCTTACCTAACTCAAAAAATATAGAATCAACATTTTGTAAAATTAATACCACCTCAACATCCCTAATAATAGGCAGCATTTACAGACCACCAAATTCTAGTTTAGAATACATTCAGGAACTATGTAATCAGATTACTACACTTAAAGAGACAAATAAAAATAAGTTTTTTGGATTATGGGTGATTTCAACCTACCTGATATAAATTGGAAAACACTAACCATAGATAAACACCAAAACCTTAAGGACATAAATGAGCTTTTCATAGAAACTTTACACAACCTAAGTATAGATCAAATCATTAAAAAGCCAACTAGATTAAACAACACATTAGATCTCTTCTTAACCAACAGACCTGGATTAGTAGTTGATTATGATATTATCCCTGGTCTATCAGACCATAATCATAAAAATACACAGTCAGATAAAATCAGTAGAAAATTCAAAACCCAAAAGAAAAATCTTACACTGGAATAAATGTAACCTAACACAACTACACCAAGCTGCATTAAACTTTCAACAAACATTCTTATTAGAAAAAGACATTAACAAACCAGTCGATGACCTCTGGAATTTCATTAAAAACCATCTTAAAAGCATTATAGAAAATCATATACCAACTATATACACATCAAACAAAATAAATAATGGTTTAATAATAGACTAAACAAGCTTTGTAAACTGGAGGAAAACCTATATAGAAAATTTAAAGAAACTAAAGCAGAAAGAGTTTACAAAAAGTATATAAAAATTAAACACTTAACCCAAAAAGTAAGCAGACAGCTGCAGAGTGAATACATAAACAATGTAATATCTAAAGATAACAACAAAAACCTATGGTCATCATTAAGTCTAAGAAAATGGAAACAACAGGCATAGCGCCATTAAAAGATGAACATTACATAATACATAATGATAATGAAACTAAAGCAACAATCCTAAACAAGTACTTTGCATCAGCATTCTCAGCCCCAGGAGACAAAGACATATTACTGAATTTGAACCAAGTAGACAACATAGAAGATATAAAAGTACAAGGAAATGGAATTAAAAAACTATTAGCCAACACCAAACCAAATAAAGCGTCTGGACCTGATGGTATTCCAGCTAGATTACTCAAAGAACTAAGAAATGAGCTAGCCACAGTGTTCAAAATACTCTTTCAGGTTTCACTTAACCAGGGCAGAGTACCAAAGGACTGGAAAGAAGCTAAAGTCACCCCCCTAATTAAAAAAGGAGAAAAATCTGATCCAGGAAACTACAGACCAGTATCACTCACCAGCATCACATGTAAAATCCTAGAATACATATTATGTAGCAACATCATAAACCACTTAGACAAACAAAATGTCCTCACACCATACCAACATGGCTTTAGGAAATATAGATCATGTGAAACACAACTAATAGGACTAATTGATGATTTTTCTAAAGGTTTAGATAATAGTGAACAAATAGATGCTATCTTACTAGATTTTTCTAAGGCTTTTGACAAAGTTCACCACTATAGTTTGCTTAAAAAATTAAAATATTTTGGCATTAATGGTCCACTGCACCAGTGGATTAAAGATTTTCTGATAGGGAGAGAACAAACTGTAATAATAAATGGCTCTAAATCAACACCGATAACAGTAAACTCAGGTATGCCTCAAGGAACAGTCTTGGGTCTACTACTATTTTTAATTTACATAAATGATTTACCGAATTGCATTACTTCAGGAACAAAAGTTAGATTATTTGCAGACGATTGCATAATATATAGAACAATAAAAACAGCACAACACACAGATATTTTACAAAGAGAATTAGATGAATTACAGAAATGGGAATCAAATTGGAGCATGTCTTTCCACCCAGAAAAATGTCAGTTGTTAAGAGTAACAAAAAAACTAAAACAAATTAATTCCACTTATCTTATTCATGGTAAACCAGTAACACAGACTAAAAACGCAAAATACCTAGGTGTTATAATAAATGAAAAACTTTCATGGAATCCACATATTGATGAAACTATAAAAAAAATCAAACAAAGCATTAGGATTTATTAAAAGAAAATCTATAAATCAAATAAGAACATAAAACTAAAATGTTATTTAACCTTGGTTAGGCCAATAATAGAATATGCGTCCTCCGTTTGGGACCCCTCAACTCAAGAAAACATTAAGAAACTGGAACAAACACAAAATAGAGCAGTGAGATTCATAACAAAGGAATATTCACATTTGACTAGAGTAACACCATTAGTAAAATCACTAAATTTAGAATGCCTTCAGGACAGAAGACTCAAAAGTAAAGTAGCAATTATACATAAAACACTGAACCATAATCTTCAAATACAAAAACAAAATTTAATAAAATACTCTGAAAGACACAAAAATAAAGGCACATTCCTCGTCCCCTATGCTAGGACAAATTTGTACAAATACTCCTTCTTCCCTAGTGCTATTAGAGCATGGAATGGGTTGCCTGAGCTAGCAAGAAAAACCAGTGACTTGGCAGAATTTAAGTCATTGGTTAATATGCATGACTAATGCATGACGCGTAGGACGTAATCATCTTCTTATTTGAAGTAACGTCTGTATTGTATACAGATGTGACGGGTTGGGAACTCGCCGTCACTGGCCCAATGAAGTAAGAAAACTTTTAGTTTTGTGATTGGTTTTTAGCTTTATGTTTCTCCAAAACTTCACCTACAAGACACAATGGTAAATGCAGTTGATCAATGCAAATAGATAACGTTAGTATGTTCATGTTTACTTTTAGATTGCAATCAGCTAAGTGGTTCTGGTTTGTTTATCACGTGACTAAATGGTTAGCTAATGGTCACAGTACTGATACTGATCAATATAAAAAAACAATGGTAATGGTAGGAAATGTTGACAATTTTGAAAAGGGTGATAATCCATTTTAGCATGTCACGAATGTTTTGTTTTTTTAAAATGATTTTCACGAGTAACAACGTCATTAAATAACAGATTCTCTGATCTAATTATATTGTGCTCGGATTGACAATGACGCCGTTTGAAGGTAGCTTGCTTTAGACGGTGTAAAAAAACTATTTTTCTGGATTCGTAATTTATGTAGTACATTCTATATTCCATTTCAACTATTTAGAGAAGGCGAATAGGGGAAAACTGGTAGATCCAACATGTGGATAGACTTGCAAAATGCGTCGTTGTGTGCCTCGACTAACTGCTCTACCTTTAGTTTCGACTCACATATTACCAAGGACTTGTACATTATTGTTATTATCTCAGTAGTTGCTTTCCTCATTGTTGTGTTCACAGTATTCTTAGGCGTTGCAGTCATCGCTGCCTTGTGTTGCCGTGCCAAAGGTTCTGATGATGAGAAAAGATTCACTCGAAAGGTCATTATCTCAATGGCCGTTAATGACTTGCTTATAACATTGGCGGAGTCTATTCCAGTAATAATTTTACTGATAACTAACGGAAACTGGACGCTGGGGCTATATATGTTCAAAAGTTGGCTAGGATACAGTACCATCTTGAGTTGTGTGTCTGCCTGTCATATATTTAGCTTGGCTCTCGATAAATACCTGGCCATCTGCCATCCAACAAAATATAGAGTGTTGCCAGATAAAATTGGATATATTGTAATTATACTTTCATGGCTAGTACCGACATTTGTTCTCTTGATTTCGATCAGTCTCCCTGGACAAGTTGTTAGCGATGATGACAAGGACAACGACATTGAGAAGCTGGAGATCTACATTTTAAAGTTGCTCTTCAGTGTGCATATGAAATTAGATTTCACATTAGTTTTTATTCCGTTGCTGCTAAGCTACGTTCTGTATATCTTGGTTTACATTGAGATTCGCAAATGGTGCAAAAGAACGACAAGGCCAACTCAGAAAAACGTGAAACATCACAAGTCTCAAAGTATGAGATGTTTACGAAAGGCAGTTCGTGCTGTTGGCCAAAAAATACTTTTAATTATAAATTTCACAAAGTCGTCATCGGATTTGGCCGGATCTTCTGCTGTAAATCCGCAACGAGCAAGTACTGAACTGAGGAGTAACAATTCAATTAGATGTCGTCAAAACTTAAAAGCTATTCGCACGATAGCCTCAATCGTAGTAAGCTTCACTGTCTGCTGGTTTCCATGTTTGATTATCTACATTCTATCGTGTCAAGGATATTACATAACCATGGCAATATTTCTAACAACCAGCTGGTTTGCTTGTTTAAACTCAACTCTCAATCTTTTGCTTTGTATTCGTGTCAAAATTGTTCGAAAATCTCTGAATAAACTTTTATGCTTACTTCCATAATGAAGAAATGATCATTGGATTTTACAAATCTTGAGCAAAGTAAAATAATAAAGTGCTAATGCAATAGTTTTATATCCATTTTAATTTCTTTAATAAACACTAAATCGTCTAAATTATCTTATAAATCACAGACGTTCATTCAAAACAGATGATACTTAAGTGTTAGTCGTAGTCGTGCGTGTTAATTAGAGGCTTAAACTGCTAAGTTATTGGTTGTCATGACTGATTCAGCAACCCTTTCGATACACTAATGGCACTAGGGAAGAAGAAACACTATTTCGTCAAAATGGGGATTCTGTGATTCTTCTGTGGTATCTTTCCATTGATTATAATACCAAGAGATTTTGAGTATTTAGTCCTTACATGTCCCAGCATGTGCAATAAGAATGTGCTGTAATAGTTGCGTCTTTCTGGGTATTTTATTAGATTTTGGTTTTGTATTTGTAAGTAAGGGTTCAAGGCTTTATGTATTATTGATACTTTACTTTTTAGTGTTCTGTTTTGAAGTTTCTCTAAATTTATTGATTTTATTATTTACTCTAGTCAATTGTGATTACCTATTTGTTATAAATGTCACGGCTCTAGTTTTCGTCTGTAGTAATTGAATTGAGGGGTCCAATTTATATTGGTCTAATTAAGGTTCAGTACAATACAAGGTCGTTTATCTGGACGTCAGTTAACCAAAACATTCAATATCCAAACTTTTTTTTTTAACAGTACGTTATCTGAGTGGTCTTGCAGATATGAATTTTTTTTATATTGAAATGAACCTTTATAATGTTCTGCAGTTGGTTATCCGGACGATCGATTATCCGTGACCCGTTTCAAATTAATCCGGATAAATGACATTCTACTGTACCACTTCAGTTTCATGTTCCTGATTGATTATTTTAAAATGTCCTCCAATAATTTTTTTTAATTTTTAGAACTTTTGTTATTTGTTCTTATTGGGCAGAAATTAAATTCTGGATTGAAAAAAATAAAAAAAACAACAACACACACATGTACCAAATACAGAATTTTAAACAATGTACATCAACATAAAGTGAGATGTATATGTTTACTGTAATGATTATTATATCTAGGTTTGAGTATTTGGTGAATGACAATTTCATTTTCACGGGATAATGTGTGCAAAGTAAAGATACAGAGATAGAGAAAAAGATAAATAGAGAGATAAATAGATAGATAGATAGATAGATAGATAAACAGAGAGAGAATAGATAGTGACAGAGAAAGAGAGAGAATTAGAAAGAGTTAGATCCTATATGCACAACTAATGACAAAATTTAAACGCGTCCATATGCCAAACAGATACAAATAATATTGATGTCATTTAAATAAATGTCAAATTGTCAAAAAGATAAAAGCTATTTGTATTGGTCTTTCTGATATTTTATCAACATTTAAACTGTACACAATTGGTTTAACACCACAACTGATAGAACCAAAACTAATGTGTTAAGCGTTGAAGGAAACCAACATTTCAATGCCTAGTATTTAAAGTGTTGCATTTTGACTGTGTGTTGATCAAAGTGTTTTTTTTTTTTCAACAACTAAACTTTGGGCATATTCAAATCACAACACAGTGTTTTTTAAAGTGTGATTTCGAAAGGTTTTTTAGGTTTATGTTCTACAAGTTGTACAGAAATACTGGACTGAGACCTGACCAGATTGATCGCTTCTGCTAGCAGATATTTTTTTTAATTAAGTGTACAAACTGTAAATAACCAAAAGTTTTTCTTTGTTACAATAAGATAGCATTCACGCTTGAATCAATGTTAACTATTTAATTTGTAGGGTGAAATGGAAAAACCAAGGTTAAGGCGTTAGCAGGTTTCCTTTTACAGTGAACAGTTTCTTAAATGAAACCATTGCAACGTGTTCATGTACATATAGACATGACATTGTCAATTAGTTTTACTATTTTTAAATTGTAAATCTTTTATTGTTTTTACTGTTACTTTATTTACTACAAGATTATCATTATTATATATTCAATTCAAAGTGTAACAGCTAAAGTGAATACTCAGGTTGTTGTTACATAGATAATGCCTTGGTGTAAAAATTATTAACTTAAAATATATTTGAAAAATCCTGAATTATAATTATTAAAGAAACTTTTTTTACAGGGGCGGTTTTACAATGCGCGGGGCACTGGGCTAGTGACATATCAGATCCACGAATATTTGTATTATGAGCTGACTGAGACAGAAGATTGTCTTCATCGTGGGACCCCACTCGCCACCTCCTATGGTCGCTTCTGATTTATAGTAAGATTTAAATATTAAGCCATGACTGTAAACAAGCCTATATTTGTTTGATGTTTGTATTTTTGTTTCTTATGGTCTATGTTATACTAGGATGAGCTAGATCAGAGCAATAAATGTTACCTTATAATAAATACGGCAATAAATGTTACGGTATACATGTTGAATATTAAAGCAAAAGCTGCTCTCAAAGATAGTTGCAAGCAGCAGTCAGACTGTTATAGAGTGACTGTCCTGTGATAGACATAATTAGCTTTGGATATAAAAAAGCATTCTCATGATATAGAAGAAGCAATTACATTTAGAAAATAACCTTGGATGATGTATTTAAGGTAAACTCATAGCTTATAAACTAGCAACTGACACTAGTACATTGCTATTAGACTTGCATTGTATTCGATTCAATGTGTATTTGTATATCATTCGTCACAAATGAAGAATAACAGTTCATTGAATGTGACACAGTGTTTGGGCACACAAGGAATGTCTAGGAATACAATTTCTAACAACTTACATGCCATTGTTTTCTTTGCAATGATCATCGCCATGATAGCAATTTTCACCTTTCTTTTAAACCTTACAATTTTCATAGCACTGTTACGCTTTAAGAGACCTTTGTCCAATGAAAACAAAATCACAAGGATCATAATGACATCTATGATACTTGTTGATTTACTGCTCAGCATATTCACTACACCACCTGGAACTATATTGTGGATAGCCAACGGAAAGTGGACTCTGGGACTACCAATGTTCAAAATCTGGCAAAGCTACAGCGCGTTTTTAGGCTGCGTGGCTGCCAATCATATCTTTAGCATGGCTCTTGATAAGTATCTGGCCATCTCTCGTCCAACGAGGTACCGGATAATTTCAGATAAAATTGGATATATCATGACTGCATTGGCTTGGTTTGTGCCATTCGGTTCATTTGCAGTTCTTTTTAGCGTACCAGCACAAGGTCTCAGAAATACTGACTATGACATTTGCTTTAATGGAGACATAATTGCATACATAACTCAAAATTTCTATAAATTCAATTTATTAACAGTATATACTTTAATTCTTTTACCTGTTTTGCTAAGTTACATTCTGTACGTTTTAATTTTCTTGGAAATTCGAAGATGGATTAGAAGAACAGGGAAGTACCTGCATATTGATAGAACCAAACCAAACGATTCTGAGACTCCAAAAGTCCAAGTCTTACCAGAGACATTATTTAAGATAAGTCAGAGGTTTGTGTTGTTTGATTTACAAAACTTGACTGAGCAGAATACTTCAACGACCTGTACTGAGACAAAATCCAAAAGTGCACTTCAGTGTCGGAGACATTTCAAAGCTATACGTACCATCGGGTCAATAGTCATTGGCTTTACGATATGTTGGTTACCAACAATGACTACGTCCATCCTGCTGTCCCAAGGTCATCACATAGGCGTGGAAATCTTTATGTCTGCCTGTTGGGTGATGTCCTTGAACTGCACCTTGAATGCAATTTTGTGTGTAAGTGTTAAATTTGTTCGTCTAGCTCTTAGACGTGTGTTAGAATAATGCAGTGTGTATCTTTACAACTGGTGTATCAGATCAGACTGAAAAGTATTATCTGCTAAAAAAGGATAAAAATAGATTCCATTACACTTAATTTTTTTATAAACTTGTCTATATTAAAATATGTTGATAATTAATGA